TTTCATAGTAATATATTATTAGTCATATATAACTATGTTCAAATAAGTATTAATGAATCAAGTATAAAAAGGAAATTTTGATAAAATTTTTATTATGTATAAACACTATAAACAATTAACTTATATAATTTTTAAAATATAAAAAAAAGGTATATAAAATATAAAAAAATTATTTTCATTTATGCAATAATTATACTTAATAAATCATTATTGTTACATATTTATCACTTCAATCACGTTAACATTTACTCAAATATCTAAAAAAAATATAATTTTAACTTAGTTCCCAGATCATTCTCTAATTTTAATAATTTTTCAATTCAAAAAAGTACGATACAGTTATCATTAATATGCTAATTTTGTGTAGATATTTATTTTATATATATATATGACATTATTATATTTTAATGAAAACATATGAAAATGTGAAAACAAAAAACAGTATAAATTATACATTATAATAAAACACAAATATGTAGTATATTCTATACATATATGAATGGTTAACGCTAAATGTAAAGATATAACCAAAAAAATTGCATTAACGTAACATATGTAGTAAAATAAGTTTAATTAATGAAAGAAAAAAGAATTAACACACAAATAATTAGTAATAATTTATGTCTGTATATATAATAATAAAACAGATATGTATTTTATTTTTACGTGTAAATATTATAATCATATGGGCCCATAATATGTTTGTATCAAGAAGTATAACACTATCAAAAAAAAGAAATCATAGTAAAAGTAATGTATCATATGTGATTAATATTTGGATATGCAGTTAAAATTATTATTATTTCATAAAATATAATGGTGTATAAGAAAAAAAAATTATAATTTAAAAAAATATATCATAACAATATGTTATATTACAACATATTTTACTTTATTAGCAAATGAATCATATGATTAATATATATGATGTTCGTTTTTATGTCTTAAGTATACATTGACTAGGATGGATGCACTATATTGTGCATGAAAATGACGAAATATGTTTACAGCATTTTTATTTATCATTTATGTTTTTGTCAAATAAAGTTGTGTATATTTTTATTAATTTTTGTAATAGCTTCTTACTAATTTGTCTAATTAAGATTTATATGTAATATATTGTAAAAAATATTTCTTTATTATATCATATTGTTAATAAAAACAACCAATATATTATTTGCTCACAATAGAGCATGTGAATTATAAGCAAAATATATTCTTCGAACTACAAAATTTTTTGTGAAATTAATCAGAACTATATAATATATAATATATTCTATTCCTTAAATTACTGCATGACATTTGTGATTCTTGCAAAATATTGCACTCATTATATAAATTATTCCTAAGATTTCTTTTAATTATTATTCTATTTTGCAAACATGATCCTAAAATAGTGAACTAATATGTATAATAAAATATTTATACGTTAAAAAAGAAAATACTTGTGATAAAATATATATATTATTAAAATTATTCATATTAATTTTTTTATAGATTAAGAATATCTATATTATAAATAACCTTATACATGATAAATATAAAAAGGGTTATCATTAATGCTGCAACAATGGGTATAATGATATAAACTTTTATGTTATATGTCTGGAATAATGGCAAAAATTCCGGTATACCATTACAAGAATTTCCATTTGCCATTTGCTTATTATATTCTCCTATATATTTTTTTAATGCTTTACAAAAAACTCTGTCATTATTTGATTTACAATCATTTACGTATTTATTATATATTTCATAGAATTTCTTGGCACATTTGCATTTACTACTACTGCAAGGTCCTTTACTATTTTTTATATTGCCAAGTTCAGTGTTCATATCATATATATCTTTGAGCTTTTTTAATATAACGTCTGTAAAGTTATTTTTATAATAATCGCATATAGAATGCTGGTAATTTGCATACGCCTTTAGATATACTTCATATCGTTTTTTTACATTCTCAAAATCACCTTCATTTTTATAATAATTTTCATATAACCAATAATATAAGTATATACAAACATGATCATTAATTTTTTCACCATCTTCTTTTTGATCATATATACAATCAATAATATATGGACAAGTATTATCAAAATCATTTATACCATTACGATCCACTGAGTTTACCTGATCACAGTAATTATTTAAACTTTGCTCTTTATATTTCGTTTTACATTCTTCATATATTCCCTTCTTTTTATCAAATAAATCCACATATATGTACTATAAGGAAATAAAGGAAATAAGGAATATTAGCATGTGTATTCAATTATTCTTTAACGATATATATAATTATAGAAAAAATAAGAATTTAATCCAGAAACATTTATAATTATCATATATAATGAACATTAAATACTATTCTATCCTTTTCTGTTGAAGAAGGCATATTTATTGTGTAAGATATTAAATAAAATAATTAATTTTCATTGTAAATAAATATAAAAATATAATTAATACGAGGTCTCACAAGATATTATACATATTTATTATAATAAAAATCTAATTAAAATAAATATTTATAACATTTCTTATCTTTATAGAATATGTACGAGGAAAATATTTAGTAAAGCTCTGAAAAATAAAATTAAGAAGTATGCATATATAAAAATAAGCGAAATATTTATATATATTTCCTTAATAATATTATACATTAAAAACAATTTTACAGAGTTAATATATATATTTTGTTTTAAAATCATATGTGTCTTAAGTTTAAATTTGCATAATCATATTACTCATGTATATATCCTTTAACCTCAATTAAAATATGACATATGTACAAATATTTTTTATTGCGAAAGTTATTAAACTGTTTATACTTATACTCATTTAATTTTACAGTAAATTATAAATACTTTTACATCATATCTTCTGATAAAATGCTATATTTATACTATATCTGTTTTATCTGAGCAATGATTTTAGGGATTTATTGATCACATAAAGTATATATATGTTATATTGTGTTACGTTAAATCTTATTTTTAAATAAATGTAATTTTTGTATCATGAATATTATTTTTTAATTATTTCATTAATTTTATAAAAATATGAATGCAAGTATATTTGCTATATATAGACACTTTTTTCAAACATAAAGTATAAATTTTCTTTATAACAATTCTTAGTTGCTATTATATGCGATGAAGTAGAAAATATATAAAATGATCATTAAGTCACTTGATATTAATTAAATATACTAAATATTATATCTCATGTGTGAGTACATGTGTACAAAAAACATATAAATTATGTCATAATAAGAAAAATAATATAATATATCATGTATCAGATATTAAATGAACATTCAAAAATATAATGTTATAATATATTGAAATTTACTTGATTCAGATATTTTTCATTAATACATAATTTTTTGAAAATACTATATTACTTCGATTAAAATGGGAATATAATACATTAAAAATATATATTTTTTCTTAATAATGTTTGAACACATAAAAATATATTATTATATTAAGTGTATAAATGATGCGGAATTGTTATTTTATATACATAAATTACTGTATTTATTGAAATAATTATTTTTATTTAAAAAATAGTTAATATTACACTTAGTAAATTAATGCTATTAATAAATATATATTTCTTACATTCGCTTTTCTGCTGCTATAAATTAAATAGATCAGGAAAAAGCATAAAAAATAAAATTTAAATCTTCTTATATTTATTTTTTTCAAAAGAGAATATTATTAAGAATATAAATAAATCTTTATAAGTTTCATTTAAGTTATAATATTTGTTGTAATTTACTAAATATGATTAGTTTTTTTTATATATGTATCTTAGAGAATAATACAAAATCATTTTTTAAATATATATAGGATTCAGGTTTTATGTTTAAAGGTTTAGAAGCGTTATATTTTGTTATAAATTATTTATATATTAGCAAAATTCATTATGCCAATGAAATCACTATTAATTTTGCAGAGTGATAAATTTTTATTTTAAAAAATATTGATCATTATTATGTACCTATGGAGAAGGAATGCGTGAAAATTTCAGCAACTGTGAAATTAGTATGCGTTAACACACTGTAAAAGAAACACTGTTAAATGAGTGGAAAAAATATAAATGCTATAGGATAGACTATATCGAGATTACTGCATTTGTGGGTTTATAATAAAACTAATGAATGTAAATAAGAAATATAAATATTTTAGGATGAAATATATACTTGCTGAAATAAAGTATCCCTATTAGTTATTTCATTTTATTTATATAAGTTAATCTCTAATACTTATGAATATATAACGAATGTAAATATATTAAAAATGATTATAGTTTATGAATAATAACTATACAATGAAGTAGTATTTTGTTACGTAATAATTTAATTATATTCTATTATATTACTTATACCAAAAATATGTAAAATAGATTTTAAGATATATTAACCTTTAAATATTATATATAGAATTAATGTATTTTTTTAATAAAATAACATTAAAAAGTAAAACTTGTTATATAAAACTGTTTATATATTTTTATCTTAAAGATGTAAGGAATATTATATATTTATTAACGGATGCTATATAAGAGGGACTACAGTACGAATCTTTTTACTATTATATATATATTTAATAAATATTATAATAACAATTTCTTCATTAAATTATTTTCAAGAATAATATAACTAAATTTTAATAATTATTGAATATATTTTTTCACTAATCATATGATCATACACGTTTATCATGTATAACATTGGTTAATATTAAAATTAAAAAGAATATAAACATTTGGGCCTAATATTTTTTCCCTTATAAGAATAAATATCATAACATAATAATATAATAAGATAATAAGAACATTGGGATCTATAATAAAATGTGAAAATTGTGTTAAAATAATAAAAAATCACGTTAATTATTACATGTATATTAAACAATAGGAAATTGTCAAATACGTATAGAGAAAACAAAAAAGCAAATGGAATATAAAGAAAAGTATAACTGATAAATAATATAAAAATATCCATATCTAGAGTAATTTTTCA